GGAGATCATCTTGGTCTTGTAATTGGCGAAGCTCCGTCGGGCTTTGCGAATGCTCTTTCCGGCCTCGGCGGCTTCGTCCATGACTGCTGCTCTTCACTCTTCCAGACCTTCCTTTATCGCTTCTCTGCATAGCTTCGCGAGTCTTCGAAGAGAGTCGTCTCTTGGCTACTTGTAGACTCTCTGCTTTCGTAGCACTATCGTGAAGATGCTCGACGCCACCGACTGATAGTGGGAAAATTTTACCTGATCATTTCAACATGTACATTTTTATTTGAACAATTGTTTTTTGCTCCTAACGATCTCACTGCTATTGTTTGATGCGTTGTCGCACGAAGGCAAATTTTATTCTGTCGTTCAAATTTGAGCCCAACCAAAGTAGCTCCTGCCTTTGGCAAACACTACCCGTTTTCATAGGACATTGGGGCGAAGTAACAGAAGTTAAACGGACACCAGGTTATCACAACTCTTCATCCATTTTTTTGCATGATCATAAATAATAGTACGTACCATCACAGTATTATGTACAAACAACAAAATTAGGTAACAACATAACAACATAATATCAAACTAAGACATCTGTTTCGGCGCAAAGGTGATGTCGCGAAATGTTCCGTTTTCATAGTGATTTGCTGGATACCATGAATGTTCTCCTGGTTCTGGCTCCCGATGTTTTCTATAGACCAATAGTCGCCTGTAAGTAATTGGAAAAATAAAGCCAGTCACAAAAACACAATGCCCTTTACCTGCTGGTCTTTCGCGAAAGCCCCTGCTCACAATTGCCAACAAGGTGGAGAGCCGGATGTACAGGGAGGCATTCCTCAGTGTAACTGAAATATTGCTACCATTAAATTTCAAGGAGCCGATTTTAACCCATTGACGACCATGGCGTTTTGCGGGAAAACGCCGCGAGGGATCGGCGCTCTCTTCATCCACCCGCGACGGCAGCCCACATTTGGACTTCATGGTCCAGCATGACCATTTTTTGAAGTTTATAAGAGAAAATTATGAGTTTTTAGGAATGTTCCTTCAAATGGGTTTGGTAAGAATGCCCACATTGTGCGATTATTGATCTTTATTATGGAATCGGCACTCGTTTTAGTGGTCATTCAATTATGAGTTAAATCATTACCAGAAATCGCTTTGGGGAACTTTCATTTGCGTTGCGTTGGGAGCTTTGCGTTTAGTCGATAACAGCGAAAATGCTAATGACGCCCGTCTTTAGAAATATCTCATTTTTTGAAGTTGTTTAACGGACGAAGAATTCACCAAGGTAATGTACTCCTTCGANAAAAAAAATACAACTGCAGTCGACATGTGGACTGCACGGTCCCACGTGGCCGAAAACGTGCAGTCCACATGTGACTGCATGGTCGTCAATGGGTTAACGCCTGACGTTTTGGTTTGAAAATGTGATCGCTTCCTATTGGTTCACAATAGATAAAAACTTCAATGGCAGCATTGGGCGATAGAAAACGTCTTCCAAACAATCTTCAAAGTATGGAAAGATTTGTACATTACCTTTCACGTATTACCGGAAACCAGAACGATAGTTTACCTCCGACAACAAGTATTTTGGCAGCGAGATCACATAGGTCTGTGAATGTTTTCTCCAAAGAGTAGGGTTGTTTCTCGGGGAAGTGGTATTCACTAAATCTAGTAACTCAACTAAATACAATTACTTTAGTACGATGTACCCACTGTTCACTCCCGTTCGATATCCATTGCTCTTTTCTTGGCTTCTTCCCGATTTTTCGTCCTTTCTCTCGTATACCGTAGGGTGCTGTAAACATCTTCGATTGTACCATGTCAGGACAAAAACGGGATGCAAATGAAGCTATTATTCGCAGAAACTTCATCTCCACCCACAGCGGAGGGAACATATTCTATAAACGAAACATGTAACAATACGATACGTACGATCTGCAACAACAGCGTTGAACACAGGTCTTGCCCACAAATTGTGCCAACAAGCATCAGCGAGTAGACCACAGAGGTAGTACCGTTCCGTTCCGTACTGCTCAAAGTTAGCCTTCACGCTCTCCTCTTTGGATCGCGTTAACATATCATGGCGCGAGGATTTTCCTAAATAACGACTCACTCAATGAAAAGACACCTTTTGGCCGTCTAGACGATGTTTTTTTGTTCTATCAGGAAGTAAAACGAATGGATCGAAATTCCCTTCATAAGACCTACAAGAATTACAATAAGATAAAGTTTTTTTTTAATGAACAGTTTGCGCAAAACTTATAACAAACCAGTCGCTTTGGCTATTTGGTAATTAATCTCAGTACCCATCGTATAAGCACCAAATTCAGCAGCCGGAAGCAACAGCCCACCTGAATGGTAATAAAAACAATACACAGGCAAATCAACACAGATTTCTCACTATGAATATGAGACATTGAAATTATAAAATAATGAGACAATCAATGTACAAGAGGTACCTGTTCCCATAAACGGATCTAACACCAGATCGTCCGCAGTAACTGAAGTGATGTTGATCTAGAAATATCTCGAAAAACTTCAATAAAGTAAAAGCCCTAGAGTGCCATACAATATACTTAACAAGTAAGAATTTCTGATCAATGGAAGGACCAGATTCCTCCGCTCTTGTCGCAAAGCGACCATTTCGATTTAACTGACCATTTCGATTTAACTGCCCCACCGCAAACTTCACTTACTTTGGGAACTTGAACACCTTTCTTCTATAACCACTTTTTTCGAGCATGTTAGAATGTTGTTGACCAGAGTTACGACTTTTGCTATTGGCCCTGCCCGATTAAGCGCAAGTTCTGCCCAATTTCAGGATTTTACCACATCTCTTCTGTACCCACCAACCACTTTTTCCCGCTTTTTCGAACGTTTTTAAACGAGTTATGGTTGTTTGATACTAGCCCCGCCCACATTAGTGCAAGCCTCCTCACTCTGAGTATTCGACCCCATCCCCTCTATAACCATAACAACTTTCTTCTTGCTTTCTAGAATGTTCTGAACAATTATGAATTTTTGAAAAGTTCCTTTCATTCAACTGCACACCCCTTCCCCAATCGGAGCTTCGCCAAGATCTCATGCTTCGGACATACTGAACATTGTCCTCTTTTCTATATTTTTCCTGCCTCCAAGCTTTCGTTGAATCGTGTTATAAATTCGTGTAGAAAGCACCGCCCATATCAAGAACTCCGGCCGTCGCGGATGGGTCTCCTTCATTTCACTTGTTGTCCCTTCCCTGACCTTTGCCTATTTCTTCCCGGCGTCTGGGCTGTTATAAAACCTAATAACGAAGTTTCGTCATTGACAACGCTCACTACTGTGCATGATCCGCCCCTCCGTGGGCGGAGCTTCGCTGAGCTCACATGTGGTCTGCTTATCTTGCTCCATGCTCAACCGATGCCGAGCTTGGCGGAAGCGCATCAAAAAACGATGCTGATCAAGGCGAGGAGATTTAAACCCCAAAAATGTATAAATAGATGTGTCAATGGCTTCTAAACATTTAGGCTCATCAGAAATTGCATCTCAATTGCAAGATAGAAGAACTCGGAGCCACAAAACCTGGAGCTTCCAACGTAGTTTTCTGCATAGTACCACTTAATAAAGCATCTCCCGATCGTGCTGCGATGGGGACTGAGTGGTCCACTTACTTTATCACTCAATAACTCCCGACATGTGCGTTAGATGTCCACGCCTACATTTTAGGAGAGACATTAGATATACGGTAGCGGTCAAAAGTATTCGCCGAAACGGTTTTTGTGAATATTTCTTTCCCTGTTCGACCGATTTGCTTGAAAATTTTATATGTCATGTGTAGCATTGTTACAAACAAAATACATTACCGGCATTTCATTCCAACGAGTTATTGCTAGTAAAGGAGGTCGGATGCACAATCTTTCAAAACAGCTTGCAAAATCCAGGTCTAAGTAAACAGCTATTTCATTAACAAAATTGTCGTAATTGGTCAAAATCAAAACCAAAGCTACGTAAACAATTAATATTTCGTCGGAAAGCCACGACTCTTGATCGCTGCCGCGCAGCGAGCTGGCATTGATCCGATGAGCTTCTGAAAAACGGCCGTTGGCATGGCGCTCCATCCCTTCGCAAGTAAAGCGAACTTCTGGTCTTTGTTGCTGCACCGCTGCTTGGCACACCGTCTCTCTAGTTCTTCCCATATGTGTTCGATTGGACGGAGGTCCGGAGATTGGCTCGGCCAGTCCAAAAGTCTCACATCTTTCTGCTGGAAGGCGTCTTTCGCGGCACGTGAAGTGTGTTTCGGGTCATTGTCTTGTTGCAAAACCCATCCGGCTGGCATGTTATCTTAGGCCCATGGAAGTACTTTTTCAATGCCCATGTTGGACCCATTCCGTGGAAAGAGAACGCGTCATACACTATCACCGACCCTCCACCGAGCTTGACAGAGGGTTTGGTGTATCTCAGATTGTATCTTTCACCACTAGGACGTCTCACATACTTGATACCATCCGATCCGAGGAGGTTGAACTTGCTTTCATCGGTAAATAGAACTTTGCTCCACTCGTTTGATGTCCAGTGCAGGTGGCGACGGGCGAACTCTACTCTTGTCTTTCGATTCTTCGGGCTAATCAGCGGTTTCTCAGCTGGGCGCCTTCCAATCAACCCTGCGGCGTTAAGCCTTCTTGCCACAGATCGTCTGCTGTTGTTTGTTCCATCACTAGCGTTGATCTCAGCCGCGATGTCGACGGTGGTAAGCGTAGGATCGGCCTTCGAGAGTCGAACGATGCGCTTATCCTGGTGAGCAGATGTTGAACGCGGCCTGCCCGTTCTCGGAGCGTTAGAAACCGTGTTCCTTTCGCGGAAACGAGCGAGAATTGATGACACGGTGCGTGCTGGAATGTTCAGAATTTTCGCAATCGTTGCACTTCTCACGCCTGCTTCCTTCATGTCCACTATAGTTTTACGGGTGACTTCTGAAGTTTCGGCCTTCTTAACCATTGGGGTGAGTCGCTTACGTCAGAAAGATGTTTGAATATCGCAAAAAGAGCGTACACTGCAGTAATGGCACGGGGACGGAAATTAGTAAATTCAAAAAAATGTCGATCGAGATCATGTGTTAGACAGTGTTATATTTAGTGCAATTTGTTCGTAACATTTAACGACGAAACATACCCAAATTTGAAGCAAATCGGTCAAGCAATGGAAAAGGAATTCAAAAAAAAAGCGTTTCGGCGAATACTTTTGACCGCTACTGTATACTCCACAATATTTTACCAACTGTTTTTGACTAAACTTCCGTGCTCTGAGAAAATTGTACCTGAATGAATGCGAGTTCCGGATCCATCGTTGTATTTCCAATGTATCGCCTTGTTTTGATATCATATAGGGACTTCAATTTGGATTGACCATCTCCAATCTACAACTGAAAAATTTCTAGTTTCGCCTTCGTTTCCAAAAAAAGAGCACATTTGTCTAAGGGGCGTGACCAAGACAATGTACATCGAAGAGTGAGTTGAACGCAACTTGGTTCTTTTCTGGAATTCAAATAAGGAAGAATCGTTAGCAGCTTGCCGTCATGAGAAAGGTAATTTCCAATAAACTCTGCCTAAGGCTAAGGTTAAGGTATGAAGATGAGAGGGAAGTTAGCCTTCAACGAATAAAAGAGCATAGCAAAGGCGAAGAGCAGTCAGTACGTATCCCTTTCACTGAGTATTGAACAATGGTTTAGAGAACTTTCACTAGCCTTTACTAACTATTTAAATTTTGCAAAATGTCCAAGGGTCCAAGTTTGCTGATAGCAGAACAGAGCTCAGAATAGAGTAGTGACATTAGTGGGAAGAACCCAACATGGAATCGTATTGCGTTTATAGATACAGCTGCAAAAATGGCGCAGTTATCCAGTGTCTTAGCAACGGATTCAGGGATATTCGAAATACCAAAAGTATTGCTAAACAGCAAACTACCTGCTATTACAGTCAAGAGTATTTCGTATGGCATCAACCAAAGGGATGTGAATTTTCAAAGAGTGATGTGATGAAGTGAGTTCGCCGGGATGAAGAGAGGCTTTGATGAATATAAGTTCTAGGGGCACTTTACTCTAATTCGACCAACAACGGCACAGCTTCGCCACCCTCACGTTCCGCTACAACAGGTTGCATTAAGTTTGTCATGAAAACTGAGAGTCCACCCGTTCACTCCCTTTAAGCTTCATGGCATCTAAAACCATAACGAACTATTGCTCTTGGCTGAACTTTTAAGGAACTGAACAATTCAAATGGTTCAAGCTAAAGAAATGATAATCTAGCAAACAATCACCAATCTACCGAAGAAAAGTCGTTGAGGCTCCGAATCACAGGCATTAGGGAACTCCTCCAGAATATAGAACGCGTTATGAGGAGTTTTCAAGTCTACAGGAGAAGTGAAAAGTGGGAGTATCGAAGCGAACTTCTGAAATTGGTTTGGAACATTCTTCAACATGAACTTTCAGCGACATCATAGAAATATGTACGGATAGACACCTCAGCAACTCCCAGGCAGTTTACGCCCTTCTTGCGTCCAATTGATCGCACGTTCACACTAAACGATTGGTCAGCGCAATCAAATACCTATAAGTTCTAAAGTATAGTGTATAACTGAGTAAAACATGACATAAAACCTTGAATAATTTCAGAAGAACCTAATTGAACCTTGAATGCTTCTACGTGCTCCGTGACTTCCTTGCATAGTTCTTCATAGGAACTAGCAGAGAACATATAGAAGTATGCAGCTTTTAGAAGCATAGATCGAGAAAGAATCTTCCTTACATGATCTTCGCTGGCTATTTCAACAGAGAATATGTGTTGCTGGAATCGCATGGATAACATTATTATTTCACGCCACATGCGAGGTTTCATGTATGGTTGCATAACGTTGCTTCAAAACCATTGAGATCCATAGTTCTACGGGTTTCTTTCACGCTATCCTCCCGTGAATATGAACCTCTTGAACTCCTATCCGATCGTGATATTTCTGCGCTCGATCTCATGCGGTGTGAAGATCACGACTTCTGCTGTTGCTGTAGGAGTATACTGGACAGTGACTGTAGTGCTATGATGGCATTGTCAGTAAATCACAACACTACAGTCACTGTCCAGTACACTCCTACAGCAACAGCAGAAGTCGTGAACACTCGTCACTTCGCAGATTGAGCACAGGAACTTCACGATCGGATAGAATTTCAAGAAGGTCACATTCACGTGAAGAGCATAGCGTGCTAGAACCTCGTAGAACTATACATCGTAAGCGTGTAGTTTACTCACCGATAACGAGAAGAAACAATTCACAAAAATGTTGAGATTCAATTCGTAGAGTAACTGTGCTGAGTGTTTCAATCCCACTGCAACCCCTGTCTTATTATGCGTCACAAAACATTAAGTTTGTTCAAGAAGTTTCCTGCACCCTCGCCAAGAAACAGCTTTCGGATTTCACACGATATAAGACCTCTGAGCACCAAGCCACCGCATATCGCTATTTATGATTGAATAATTGAATGATTTCAATTGCTACTGTTTCGTGAACCATTCATTACCTTTGCGTTAATCTGCGCTACATCGAAATCCAATCCCAAAGCATCAGAAATACCGCGTAATTCGTCTATTCGAAAATCAACATGTACTTGTGAGAAAAGAAATACTACTTTCATCTGAAAGAACACAAGAGAAATACAGGTACTTCTACTACAATACGATTATTATTATCAGACTCAACTAATACCCAATACAGTGTTTATGTAAACATTGATACAAACACAAACAACAATGTTGCACATCTTTATTTGTAACTAGAATCTACTATTATACTTTGATATCTACTTCTATTTGAGAGCGTCCTGAAGTCCAAAACCTGGTCCTGTTGGTTCCCCCTGAAATTAATAGTTTCTTGATAAACAATGCCAACTAAACATCAGTTGGTTATACTATTAGAACGTGGTTATGTGAGGATTATATGTTTTACCTTGCTGTAGAACAGACTTTTCAGCTGGTGAAACAGCTTTCTAGGGTTAAACGGATACCTGTCTTATTGACGAAAAAGAAAGTTGTTCGGAAAACTTCATCTGTCCGGTAAGGCGCTCATATACACTAGAAAAGTAGCGACAAATCCAAGGCAGCCCAACATATAGGTCCCAAATAAGCAATTAATATCCTATTGCATAGAATAATTTCCCTTAACGCTCATTATCCTAGTTTTGAGTAGGTCCATAAATCTAACTGCAAATCTGATGGCCATTGATCGATTCTTCGGAGTGGTAGGTTTGCTCAGCCTAATTGATTATGACCTAGATTATTAGGTAGAGCACCACTTATCTTCTCGGATAGATGCGACACTAACATTCAAACCCTAACGCTAATATTTAAATCGTAGTGACTTTTCTGAATGCGTGTGTGACTTATACAATGACTTGCTCTAGCTGATTGATATGCAGTACATTTACGCTCCTAAACNGACCTAGATTATTAGGTAGAGCACCACTTATCTTCTCGGATGGATGCGACACTAACATTCAAACCCTAACGCTAATCTATACTAATATTTAAATCGTAGTGACTTTTCTGAATGCGTGTGTGACTTATACAATGACTTGCTCTAGCTGATTGATATGCAGTACATTTACGCTCCTAAACGAAGGGTCACAATTAAGCCACCCGAGGGTATTGAAGGCTTTGCCTGAGCTGGTATCAATCCCTGCATCATAACTGATTTGGACAATACACGTCACTTACACTACGCACTCCCCGTCAATTTTCAACGTACAAAACGTAAAATCAAGGCAGCCATAAAAGAGATGGGAAGACATCCAAAAGAGTCGTCCCAGTTCTACCACAATCGGGGGCACAAGACGGCGCAGGGGTTTTACCAGAGCTTGTGGTTATAGTCTCCGACCTGATGCAGAGAACCGAAAGAAGCCATACAAACTAACGACAAAGTCAGAAGGTGAACACCATTCAAGACGTTTTTCAAAAATTTAACCACTTATTCCCTTTTTCCGTCGTGTTTTTCCACGTCGTGAAATGACTCACAGTCAAAGATGTCAGCTTTCCCATTGGTTCGGCGGCTAGACGTCCGGATCGAGGACCTGGATGCGGACGACGTCCTTCCTTTAGATCAGTTAATATATCGTTCACATCTTGTACGGTTAGATCTTCGTAGTAATCATCATTGATCTTAAAATCACAAGCTTTTGCAACGTAAAGAAGCAAGACCAATGGACTTTTTTTATTAAACCAACAAATATGAAAGAAATTTAGAATATCTGTAATACACTCGCCTGGATCATTGGAGCATTTACACAAGCGCCCAAGCACTCTACTTCCGTTAGTGTGAATAAACCGTCCTTCGTGGTTTCACCAGCATGAATACCTGCAACGTGAAAAAATTATCACTTGTGCCCGAATGCCTGCGTAATCAGACTCCCTATTGGAAATTGATGTGATGTGATATTCGATAGAGGGTACCGAGAGCTTTTTCGATCGTCTCTGTAATAGTTTCCGCGCCCCGTAGCATGCATGGAGTAGTTGCACAGACCTGAAATATCACATTTCGCAGCTGTCATACTGAATGCACTGCAAAATTCATCATTGTGCGATTTGGCTGGAAAAATGCTAGACTGCATTATAGTTGCGTACTATACCGACTAATCAGGAAAGAATGTACTGCCGTAGCGAAGTAGACAAATGGCTGCATTCAGACTTGCGATGGCTAATATGCATCCTTTTTGCGTACAAAACTGGAGCTCGGCGTCATATATATATATATATATATATATATATATATATATATATATATATATATATATATATATACGAAACTCGTTGCCTCGTTATGCTCCCGCATTCCGCGCCTTTAGGATACTTGTTCTGCTTCATTCTTGACGACCTACCAACATACTACAACTTGAACATTGACTGCTCAGCAATTTCGACCGCTCTGCTTTTCAAAGAATGCTTCTTTGATTTTCTTTTGGTAAAAATTTGACCCCAATTTTTAAGCTCGCCATAGCGACTGCAACGAGGAGAGAAGGGTCATCAAAAAAAGCGGGCGTGTCTATGAGGGGGAAAGATTTGGTTTGATATTCTTAAATTGATCTGGTCTTTTCAGGTGGCGAAAAAGGTGATACCACCAAGACGTCAGCCTGAAAAAGTTTTAGATAGATCTTAAGAAAGAATTTGTAGCGCGTGTTATACGGCCGGTGAAAGACAACATAGCAAGTTTCAGACACTTCAAAAAAAGAGGGTCAAGTTTGAATCCTTAGGGTTAACTATCATATAGGGTATGCAGGCAATACACAATAATTCCAATGGCAATAACAACAACATACACTAAATGGATAAATGTTAATTATGTTCATACAACCAACTGCTTCACGTCCTACTGTTCATTTTGCAAATGCAAGCAATCCCATTTACCTGCAAATGGTACTTCCCTATAGGCTGCCTATTGAACATGGTGTAGAAAGTTGCTACTTCATATGCACGCATTCGTGGAACATCTGAAAAATGGTTGTTGAACTAATCACTTGCGAAAACACTAAGGAGAACACACAGCACTGCAACCTACCCAAAAGTCGGGCGACTTCATGCATTGCCGAGATTGGAAGCCATCCATGCTGACGTTGTGCAAGATCTAAAGCCGGAATCAGTGCAGCTGCTTTGTGTCCTTCCGGGTAGTTTGATATAAGGACTTCCAGCTTCTTTTTGTTTTCTTCATTGAATTGGAATTTCACATTTGGATTATTATGCTCAGAATCACGATGCACCATAAGGCCAGTACCTTCAAATGATTAGAATTTATACCGTCATAAAACCCTCTAAAGATCAACTAGTTGAACGTTTTTAGTAATCTCTTCTAACATAGAAAGGAGAAATTCTTGACGAACTCACTGCTTATATATCTAAAAAGTTAACAAGACCCTCACTCGCCTTGCCAGGCCGTTTTTAGTTGTAATGATTCCCAAAAGAAAGTTTTAAACGTACCTCCCATACGTTTCGGACATATTCGACCGATCCAGCCAACCAAAGACACCGACGCCTTCATCGCCATGTCTTCAACAGCTTCCACAAAATACGAACGCAACCGCTTATTACGTAATAGTGAGGCAGTTGTCTGCAATTGCGTACGATGCTTCGTGCGATTCGAGCTGTGCGGGGTGTGTTGCGATTCGTGCGATTCTGGGTGCGCGCGGCGAGTTGCGCGGCGAAATTCATAGCGATTCTGAGGACTTTAGCGCCTAATGTTGGGGCCCAGTTGGAGTAGAATAGTTTGGCAGGATCAGTTAACCGTACTAATCCATTCTACTTCAAGTTTGTGCCCCAATAATAGGCGCCAGGGTCGTTTAAATGACCGCGAATTTCGTCGCGCATTTTGCCGTGCGCAGCTCGAATCGCACGAATGTACCGTCCCCCCGATGCTGCACTATCCATAACCATACGTGGGAGTGACGGAACTTGGGTAACGAAAAATTAAGCAGTGGAAGAATTACTCGTGGGTCCGAAGAGTCGCGCGGCAAAATTGGTAGCGATTTGAACGACTTTAACGCTTAACATTGGGGCTCAAATATGGAGTAGAGTACAGTAGAAGGTTCATTTGACCCTACTTAACTACTCCGAGTTTGTGCTCTAAAAATTGGCGTCAAGTCGTACAGATCGCCACGAACTTAGCCGCGCGCATCCTCGGACGCACGTAAGTTCCGTGGGTGTGTACTGATTCGTGCGATTCTGGGTGCGCGCGGCAAATTGCGCGGCGGAATCCGGTGCGATTTGGACGACTGCAGCGTTTATCATTGGGGCCCAAATCTGAAGCAAAGTAGATTAGTAGGATTGACCGATCCTACTGAAGTACTCTGCTTCAAGTTTGTACCCCAGTAATAGGCGCCAGAGTTGTTTGAATCATCGCGAATTTCGCCGCGCAATTTGTCGCGCCCACCCAGAATCGCACGAATCGTGCGTCACCCCATGTGGCATTACGTGCGCCCGAAAGTGCGCGAGGCAAATTGTGCGGCGAAGTTCGTAACGTTTCGAACGACTTCAGGGCCTATCATTGGGGCCCAAATTTGAAGTACGTAGATAAGAAGGATCACTTGGCACCACTAAACTACCCTACTTCGGGTTTGTGTCCCGAAATTGGCAACAGAGTCGTTCAAATCGCCACGAAGTTCGCCGCGTAAATTGCCGCGCGCGTCCTTCTCTCTCCTGATACGATCCGATACCATTGTAAAAATCATATATCTTTGGGCACAAGATCTTGAACGGGTGTAGAATGGCTGAAATTGCGTGTGTTGTAAGTGTTAGGTGAATATGTAGTTAAAGTGGGAGCCAATTCCCTAATACTAGGCTAAGACGCCAGAAACGAAGACGTACCCACCTGTGCGAGCCTCTAATGATGCTCTCTGAGTATTAATATATGCTAGCACGCTACTGCTTGAACTTCTCAAAAGAAATGAATCAGTGGTTAACCGAGTACGCTAGTGTTGCCTATATGTATTTATTACTTGTGTTGGGTTGTAACATAAGTTCGTAGAGTTTTTCCACAAAGATTTATTTGAACAAAAAACAACAATCATAATAACAAATTAACCAATGATGATGATCCTCCGTTACTGTTTACGACCTCCTCCCATCTCTCGACCAATCTGTTGATGTCGTTTCGCCAAGAATCAGCCGGTCTGGTGTCGAAGAAGTTGTTAGGCCAGTTTTTAAAATCCGCCATCGAACGTAACACCCCTCGTTGACAGAGAGCGGAAAAGGTGATAGTCGGTAGGTGCAAGATTCGTAGAGTACGGTGGAGGCTAAAGAACCTCCCATTCAAGCTCTTGGAGTGCTGTTCTGACGATTTGGGCAATATGGGGCCTAGCGTTGTCGTGGAGAAGACGATTGACCTTGTCTATCAGGTCTTTTCAGCCGAATAGCCTCATTTACACGGCTCAGGTGGGCACCGTAGACCTCCTTGTTGACAGTGACATTTCGTTCGAGCATTTCCCAGTGCACCATGCCTTCCCAGTCTCACCAAACGCGGATCATGACCTTTTTCAGGTGAAGATCTTGCTTGACTCTCGGCTTCGGGGTCTCTCCTGGGGCCACCCGTTCCCTTCAGTAGACACATCTAAGACACCTTCCCCGTTCACACTGCATATGTCCTGAGCTGCTTCAGCTTCTTTTTGACCTCGATGAAAAGCAAAGAAAAGCAGATATCGAAAATGCTGATTTTTCCTCCTGGATATTCTATTTCTGAGCCAGGAAAAAGACAATCAATTGAATTATCCAAAAAAAAAACAAATGAAACAGTTTTGTAAAGGAGAAAGAGCTCTTTCGAGTGTTTGAATACACTTTACTAATAAAAAACAAATCGTTGTAAAATTTGGTGGATTACCAATGGAAAGTTGTAGTAAGGACGTGTGACAAAGGTTTATTAACACGCCTTGTACAAAGATGGACCATAATAATACATTCACGGGGTTTATATACACAATATGTGGGCGGTCCTCAGGTACCGTACCGCAACTGGACCTTAGGGGGCCCGTGGCGGTACTCAAGCTCGGGGGATGAAAGAGCGGACCGCGCCAACGGCAGAACTTAAGTTACCTACTTGATTGCACACTTATGATACCGCCTGTGGTCTCAACTCAAGAGATACTCATGTCAAGTTATGCCTATGGTTAATATGTTGAACTCGCATGTTATCTATCGCACTGCTTAAGGCTAGTTCTACTATAAACATCTATATGGTTGTGAATCCACAACATGAAATAACTCTAACGCAAAACTTATGTTACAACCTAATATAACATTACAAAATATAGCAATGGGGAGAAGGACCAGGACGAGGTGGCCACACGGCCAGGGCGATGTACCACGGCGAAGGCGATGAGGAAGTCGATCCGGCTTTCTCGAACCAGCCACTTTTACAGCTATCTTGTGCGACAGTGCGTAAGTGGTTGGTGGCGGCGGCGACACACATGATGGAGCAGCAGCGAAGCGATGACTCGACTTCTCCACTCCTTACAGTAAGCTCGTCCTTGATCTTTAATTGTAGCCCTGTTATGGCATAGACATTCTCTTAGAGCATACAGCTGCAGAAAAACAGATGAGGTGCTTAATATGACATTAGTGCCGTATACGAATATTAAAATAAGATTTTTAAGTTAAAAGCTGGGAAAACGGCATAGATTGTGCCAGTGGATACATTGCAGAGAAGAATAAATCTTAAAGGCACAGTTCACTATAATTTTGAGGTACCCATTTTTATTCAGAAAGCGGAAGTGTAGATTGGGAATAGTTCATCGGTAGTGAAGAAAGCGAGAGAATTCGCCGATTTCCAGAAAAACATGGCTCCTCAAAAGTAGGGGAAGTAGAGGTTGGACGAGATTGCCATGATGGAAATAACATGAAAGGGGTATTCGGAAGAGATTTCAGTTATTGCAATTGCACAGGGGGCGTGCGATTCACGCGTGACCCCATTACAGCTCTGCGCGTACGCAGCATCGTTACAGTACCTTTCTGTTGAGCAAGACCAAATAAATTTGCGGTAGTCCACGGCTTCATCATGAATAGAGCAAATCTCTTTACTATGGCAAAAAAGCCCCTTCGAGATTGAGAATTTACCACATAGGTCAACAATTTACTTGTCAAACGTTCGAAATAAGAATAACTTCAAATTTTTTGATCCTAGAAGACTCATACCTCCTGTAAACGTGCATAGTTGGTTATTATTTCACTTATTCTACTTGTAAGTTCTTATTTCTTCCATTACGATGGTAGGCATGATGATTTAGCTCGTTTTGTACGATGTCCTCATTATATTGACGCGTAAATCGCACCACACTCAATTGCACAGAGTTGGCTACATCAACGCAGAATTGTACAGAACTGCCTTTCACTATCGCTTCAGGTCATGACAAGTTGCGTGAGCCTCCTACATGGGTTCCCTTGTGAATGGTGCAGCCTCTGCAATGCCGGTGAAACTCGTCCGAGGATACACACGTACCACTCTTTATAACTCCCTAATTAGGCCGTTTTCCAACCTGATAGTGCCAGATATGGTATACACGGAGGCCTCAAATTCATCCTATGGGCGAATCTCAGAAGCCATCATCGGAAACTGTGCCTTCAATTTGGATCGGCTAGGTTTCCCATTCCTTCGAAGAATTGGCTCGTCCTCGAGCCAGTATGTAGTGAGGCGTGATGAAAATTATGGGGTGGGGTGGGCATTTTCGTGATCGTTAGTCGATGTCTCATAATAAACAGTACGAACGTTACTCTTACAACTAATACAACTGTGACGATGACCATGAAAGTGTGGTACAGGCATTTTTCTTTTTTCTATTACCATTCGGGTTACGCACGCTAATGCGTGCACCACATGCCCGCTACCGCTTACGTTCAACTTGTTAGAGGACCAATACGAACAGTATCGATTGACTTCCCATTTCATGACTGCTTCCTCAACTCGCTCACGTGACATTCACAATCTTCGTCGTGCCTGATTTTTGGAAGGACGCAAAAACCTGCCCACAAACAGACACACAAAGTTACCGCTTTATATATAGAGACAGTGGGACCGCCCGGCTAACGCGGGCTTCCCTCCTTCTTATGATAGAGTCGTGATAAACGGCGAACAGCACACTCCTTCTTTGGAACGAATGATGCTTTTCGGAGCACGAAGTTCGACAGAGGAACAATAGGGCATGCAAACGATATTCAAAATACGAAACAACAATATTCAGTGCCGATTCCTATGCCTATGATTAGAATCTGTCTGTCTCGA